TTGGCTGTGCTTAAATGTAATTTTTCGGCCCATACAAAAAAAATACCATGATACTAATATTCACTCACTTTATTAAACTTCCTGTTATTTAACATAACGAAGATAAAAGTGTCGACTGACTCATACAACACTGAATGATATTTTATAGCAGCGGCAGACACACTTCCTGCTCTGGGAACCTTTCACAGGATTCCGCTGGAAAGCCGAGAGACTGCTGCGCTACCGGCGGCTGCTGTATTTGGCGGTCCAGTCTACTCGTCCGGTCACTGGCTGAAAGTTTGAGCTCCTGGAGAGGCTGGTCTTCGCTGGAGTGCTGGTGATGAATCCAAAGACCTGAGAATTCAGTTTCCTGCTTTTCCATCCTTCATACTCTGAAATCAACACAAAAAGCACAAGATAATGTCAAATAGCTTACACCGTTTTTTATTCAGTGTGTGCTGCTCTTTTTGTCTTACCTTCATTTGAGGATGCCAGCTTGTTTAAGGTTTTGCTTTTCAATGGTTTGGTTTGCGGCTCCACTCTCAGATCAGCAGCAGACGACAGATTGACTGAAAGATTCGAAAAAAAGCTGAGTTTAGAGGACGGATACGCCGCCTTTTCCGCTGATGCGTCAGTGCCTTATAATAAAATTCCAAATTTCTTCACGTTTAGGAAGATAACCTCTGGTTGAGAAACAATTTACACAACAGGCATGACTGTATTGCATATTATTGTGCAAAAGTCTTGAGCCACCCTTCATTCCTTTATATTTGGCTCGGAAAATTTGAACTAAGTGCAACGATTTAATGGAACGTGCAGATGTAAAGGCAACAGCAATTACAGCAAAAACAAAAACTGGTTAGTGAAAAATTAGATTTTATGCATGTCGAACTGTGTTATCATTTTTTGTAGACTCAACTAAAGAAGTGTGTTTTTGCAACAGGTCGCTAGTAACAAAGCACCTGAAAATGCTCAGTTGTCTGTTATGTGTAGATGCAACATTGGTTCAAGAAGCCAGTGACCAAAGCAAAACTATGAGAGACCTTCAGAATGCCTGGAGAAGTATTGCTCAAGACCGCTTTAAAAATTACAAGAAAGTCTGGCTCCTTGGTAGCAATGTATAAAGAAAAGAGTGGTGACTCAACACTTGCACAGTACTGTACATGCCTGTGAGCCAGATGCAATAAATTCCCCTTCACAGTTGAGTAAAAACACTTAAACTTACAGTTGAATTAATCAAAACAAGT